TTTTTTTTTTTTTTTTTTTTTTGCAAAATGTGAATCGCCTAGTCCCAAGTTCGGAATAATGGGTCTGGGTCGAACTGGGCAGGTTTGGTTCTAGTTGAACGATCAAAATTCAAGCTGGATATCTGGATTGGGGTTCATTGCCATGGTATCACACAGCCACACAGGTATGGTGTTGAGATGGCAGTACAAAAAGTTGGCGAAACTGTTCACCATGGATGTGACTGAATTCACCTTCTTGTAGAAATTCATCCAGCCTTAACCTCGACTTGTCAGGAATCAACGAATGAAGGAATGGTGCTTGCTGGTCCTTCCTGGGTCATTAGCAATTCAGAGTAGGTGGTTTAAATTCCCAGGCCCCTTGAATTATCGGTCTTCTCTTTCATGTTCACCATCTTTTTCATCTTTTTGCAGCACCAAATAATGAGGATGAGGACCCAGCAGCAGCGGAAGGGGAGGCCGCAGCAGCTGCAGCAGCTGCCGCAGCAGCGCTACCATTACCAGCAGTACAAGGGATGCAGGGTGATGATTTTGTGGTGGAGATGGAGGCAGCACGGCCATACGTGTGTCGAGAGTACTCTTTGGCAGAGATGTCTAAGGCCACAGGAGATTGGGCAGAGGGGAACAGGATAGGAAGTGGTAGCTTTGGGGATGTTTACAAGGGTGTGTCGCCCCATGATTGCAATCAAGCCTGGGCAGTCAAGCGAGCTCGAGTGCTCACGAACGACTTCCAAAGAGAGGTACCATGGTGTGAGTTTTTGTTGATATGTTAGTGGCACGTTTCCCATTAGTTTCTTCTGCCAACCCCAAGCATAGCTGGTGGTCTGGTTATTCAATCTCCTTCGATATGTTTACTGTTTTCCCTCTCAGGTGAAGGAGATGGCAAGCAAGCACCATCCGCATCTTGTGCGTCTGTTGGGCTATTGCATCGACATCGACCTCTCCACACGACTCATGGAGCAGATCCTCGTTTACGAGTTCATGCCCAACCACGACCTTGAGAGCTGGATTGGTTCTGGTGTCTCCCATCCTCTTTCGCTTCGTCAAAGGCTTGACGTTCTGATTGGAGTGGCAAAGGGGTTGCAGTATCTTCATGACTTCGGCATTGTGCATCGCGACATCAAACCTGCCAACATTCTCCTTGATGCAAAGATGCAGGCATGTCAATATTGTTGTAGGCCTTGCTGTACATGGTGAAAGATGCCTACTCGTATCCATCCCTTTGCAACTATCATGTGGTGTTTTGCATCGCCTCGCATGCTCTGAATCTTTCACATCAATGCTCTTGTTGTCCATGGGCAGGCCAAGATTGCAGACTTTGGGCTTGTGAAGCTTAGTGGGGGCACTGCTATGGGCACGTCTGTGGCTGCCACACGAGTGATGGGAACACCGGGCTATGTGGACCCTGCGTATTTCAAGTCTCATAAGGCCACTCCAGCAGCAGATGTGCACAGGTGAGCAGATTGGCACAGGTGAGCAGATTGGCACAGGTGAGCAAAGTAGGTTATGCTACCAAATCCATGCAAGTTATAATGGCATGAGAAAACAGTGAAGGTTAGCAGATGAGCACTTTGGCATGAGAATACTGTTCAAGGAGGCTTCCAAGTTTGATGAGAAATGCTCATGAGTTTCGTTTCTTATAGGGAAGATAGGGTTTGGGTTTCGGGCTTGCAGTGATTTCTATTTCACTCAAAGAAGGTCCATGCCTGACATTGAAGCCATTTCCAGGCATTCTTACCAATCGAGTAGCTTGGTGATGCTTGGTGATGGGGCTTGCGTGACGATCACTTGTGGAATGATTGGGAAACAAATTTCATTGTGACCATAAAGCTTTTGTACATCTGAGCGTGATTTCAAGTATGATGCCTTTGTTTATTGACGGGTTGCAGTTTTGGCGTGGTGACGCTGGTGGTTATCACGGCGCGCAAGGCTGTGCATGTAACACAGGAAAACCAGATGAATCTCAAACAATGGGTGAGAGACAGAAGTGTATCATGCCAAGGATGGCAGATCTTGTAACACAACGTATGAGAAAGCCAGCTGCACTGCGTATTGAGTTTGCTTGATAATATCAATGTTTCCTTGTTGCCCTTAGCCAAACATATGTAGGCCAATTCATGTTCTCCTTACCTCCATTCCCAACAGGATACATGCTGCAATGATTAAGACGAGCACTTACCTTTGAATCACACCTTGTATCTGTAATAGGATTCACCTTCCTATCATCCTGCTTTCTATGTAGCACTAATCTCCTATGATCATACATCATTCCATCAATCTCTGCGTTGCCACATTTCTACCATTCTTCACAGGTTTTATTTTAATGTGAAACTCTGTGAACATTTTGTATCACCAAATTCCATGTGATGTATGCATTTAACCTCGCAGGTGGCCCCGTTGGTGGACTCCGGTGCTGTATTGGCATTCAAGGACCCTCACTTGGACGCACCAGATGACTTGGTGCTGCGCTGGGCTCGCCTTGCCCTCTCCTGCACGGCCATGCCTGCAGCCTCCCGCCCCTCCATGAATCAAGTGCTTTGGGAGCTGGTGAAGTTGAAGCAGGAGGCGTCCGGAGCACATGAGGGCCATGTGGGCGAGGCCAAATCTCGCATTGACATGGAGCTTGGGAGCTCCATTGGCTCCTCCAGCTTCACTGCTGAAATGGCCCGTGCGGAGCGCGAGGGGGGCATGCCAAGTGGCTCTTCCACGTAATCAAGCTTGTTTTCACATGCAGCTTACTGGTTTACCTTGTGCTTCTGATGCCAATTGTTTGCTTCATATGAAAACATGGTATGGGACACATAGGAACACTGACAGAGGCTGTGGAAGGGATACTGGTAGCATCTTTTGATGAGCACAAAAATGGGACAGGAAAATTGGGCTGTGTAGTACACTGTAGCTTCGGCTTGTCCATGGGCCAGATTTTATGCTTGTCACCTTCTTCCTGAAACTTTTAGCTGTTGCATGCATGATTTTCTGGATTGTGAATTAGATTCACGTATAGGGTTGTTTTGGGGTTTTTAGACAGAATATCGCTCTTCAAACATCAAGCTTGAAAAGCTAAACATTCCTCTGTATACATGGAGAAAGAACTGTTTAGAAGATACCCCCTTGCTACACGATTGCCCCTAACCTCTACACTGGCTTAACTCGTACACACAAATAGGTGTCTTATAATGAGGCGAGCTTGTTGAAAAGAGACACCCGGATAATAGACAACCCCTGTCTACTATTCAACACTGTCTACTAACCGGGCAATGACGGTATTATACTCCCCACTCCTCTCATAAAATCCCTCCTTTCGTAATCCCCACTTCTGTCATGCCTCTATATTCCTCTCATGCCCCTACACTCCTACCATACCCCCTCTGTTACTCCTCACTCTTCTTATACCCCCCACTCCTCTCATACCAGCCTCCTCTTGAATCCCCCACTCCTCGCACATCCCCTCTTTTCATAACCTTGACTCATTTCAAACCTCCACTCCTCTGATAAACCCGGTTCCTCTCATACCCCTCACTCCTCTCATACCCACCATACCTCTATGCCCCCCATTCCTCTCATACACCCCACTCACCTTATAACCACCACCATTATATTACCAGCCATGCCTCTCATACCCCCCTTTCCACCCATCCCCCCACTCCTCCCATACCCCCAATTCCTCTCATGTCCCCAATTCCGTTTACACACCCCAATTATGTCATAGACCCCACTCCTCTCATACCCCCCACTCTTCCCAATCATTTATTTCCAAGTAGTCGCTGTCTCTTATAGTCTTGCTTTCTATGCATGCGCTCCTGCATTGAGCCTTTGGACTCCTGCACCATTTTCTCGTCCACTCCCTCCATGCACTATGGATATTTTAGGTTAGAAGAACCTGTGCAAGAGCAATATGCTTGCGCTAGACTTCTAGTGCTGTTTTGAAATTATAAAGCCTGTTCATAAAAAGTGCTACCGTACCGACCATAAGCTTGATAGATATTTGTGAATTGTGCATATAAAAATGGTGTCTTTGATTAGATCTCCTAGCCTGATTTGTCTCTGACTGTGCTCACATACGTGACATCTTCCAAGCTAACCAATTTGTAACATTTCTGATCAATTGCTCTCTATTCTAGATGAAAACACATCATTCAAACAACGCACTGCAGATGGTTGTGAACCATTTTAATTTGGAACAGTGCAAGTTACTGTGTTGTGGAATGGATGGAGCACGCACAGTCCAAGGTTAATGAAATCTTTATTGATACAATTTGTAGTTTGAACCATAATGTATCCTTGCAGCTTGACTACGAACTCAGCCTTCAACCGCCAAGAAATCATGAACGTACGTTTATCATGGCAGGAAAAAAGGCAGGGAGGTGAGGAATCTGAATGCTAAGAAGTAGGCCACACTTTCTAATAATGTACCTAACCTCTCATGAGAGCCAGTTCAGCATCGAGAGTCCCCTGCTCATTGTTCTGGGTGCCAATCTTGGCCTTGTGGCTGCTAAATATGGCTTGTTGGGGCTAAAGTGCCAATGGTACGTAGGTCAGTTGGTTGCTGACGGTAGGGTGGGGGAGGAAAAAGGGTAGTGTGGGAGATTGTGGGTATCTCGTGTTTGTGGAAGGCATGGCCCTGCATCATACCTGCACCCACGACTGGCCTCAGACTGACATGAGGCTGACATGAGACTGACCAGAAACTGACCAAAAGACTGACCCGTGTTTGACCTTAGACTGACCTGAATCTGACCTTATTTGACTTAAGACCAACCTGAAACTGATACGAGACTGACCTGAAATTGACCTGAGTTTGACCTGAGAGTGACCTGAAAGTGACCTGAGAGTGACCTGAGAGTGACCTGAGAGTGGCCTGAAAGTGATATGAGACTCTCATTATGAGAGTTTCTAGAGCGATCTGAGTGTGACCCGAAAGTGACCTACGACTGACACAAAACCTTCCCCCCCCATGTACTTGACTGGCGAAGCTAAAGAAGGCATTGAACACAAAGGGCGTGCTACACGGGCCAGGGTTGTCGATGAAAAGGAAGAGGCAGATGGGCGCTGCACTGTGCTGCTCCTGACGTGTTGCTGGTGGGGGGCGTGAGGATGATGGTGCCATTGAATGGTTGCGCTGCTGCACCTGCCAGGGAGACTGCTGTTGTCTGTGATGATTTGGTTGAAGGGAGAATTGCAGGATTATGCAGAGCGAGGCAAGGCAGATGGGTGCAAACGGAACAGAAGAAATATGCTTGGATGTAAATAAATCAACACCAGGAGTTCGAGAGGTTTCAACTGCGATGCAGCTGTAATGGTAACAATTACGAGGAATGAGCAGGGTATGCAACGTAATCAAAGGGCACAACAAGAGAGTGCCATCTGCTTCTTACACCAGATCACTCAGTCTCTCCCAAAACTTGTGTATACACACCACTGTAGGAGCACGAGGGCAGTCCGGCCTGGTTGTCGAAGTTGCTATCGCAGGTGTATACTGATTCCTGCACAGACTCACTGAAGGAGCACATGCCATGCCCGCTGCACAGGGGTTGGCAATCCCCAGCAGCAACCCCACAGAATGCACCACACTCCTCTGCACTCCTCTGCTCCAAGTAGTCTCCAGGCGCCCGGGATGCGTTGAGCAGACAATGCTCAAAGGCGTTGCCAAGGTAGGTGTGGTTGGCCTCGGGCGGGATGATGGTCCCGTGGAAGAAGAAGTTGCGGTGGGTGTAGGGTAGGTAGGGTGGGAACTGGTTGGCTGCAGGTAGGGCGACAGGGGCAATGGCAGTCACCCTGTCACTGGTTGGCTGACATGTCACTGTAAAGAAGGGGGGGCGAGGGCAGGGAGAGCCAAGGCGAGGAGTGGGTGGGAAAATGGCGCATGAGCGGGGGTGTGACAAGAGTGGGTGAGAAGTGAACACGCACAGGGTGGTGCAGAGGAAAGATGCAGTGTTCTGTTGGAAGAATGTGTTTGATGCTGGTCAGCAATTACCAGCGCGCAAGCAGATGAGCCTTGGTGTAACAAGCATTTTCAGTCCTATCTGTAGTCCTCCTTCCCAATCCAATGCTCTCTTAGAATGGGCTCTTTCAGGACCCCCTCAACACACCAAGGCAAGTAACAAATGGCACATGGCCCATTGGCACATGGGACCTGGGACATGGCAAATAGCACATGGTGCATGCCATATGCGATTCCCCCCATGCACGTGCAGCATGACAAGGCTGGTCATATTGCGTGTGATGCCGTACACATCGCCAGAGAGGACGTTCCTGTTCAGGTAGCTGGAAGAAAGCACATCCGAAGACAACTCGTGAACGCGGCATGCATGGCATGGCGGCACTTGGACTCCCATCTAGCAGGGTTGAGTGCGCTTCCTAAGGCCCTCAGCGGAGGTAGCATGGAGTGCTGTTGTTGCATGCAGTTGCGTTGCATACAAGCATGATTTCAACTACATGTCAAGGTTGGTAACTTGGATAAGTGTGAGTGGACCAGACGCCAAGGGACACTGGATACAACCGCAAGCAGCCAGGGTGCACACACAAAAGGCCCAAGTTCTGAAGGAGAATGATCTCGGGACCGTACCCCTGAGCCCCACACCCTCCAGCTACCTGAACCCACAGCGTGGAAGACATCGTGTGCACACGTGATACATCACAGACTATGATGATGGAACGATAAGGGAGTCCTTGAGTGAACGAGAGAGAGCGCATTCTATTGCAGTCTGCATATATGTCTTTAACACGCTATGTCTCAGTACCTTTCTGATGACTCTTGTCCTCAAAGCTACTGACATAGACTGATGCAAAGCCAAGGAGACTCGGAATCATACGTGCACAGGAGGTTGCACCAGCAACACACCAGGCAAGCAAGGCAAACACCAAGAGAGAAGCTACAGGGATGGTTTAAGGTTGGCGAGATGTCAAGGTGACTCAGGGTTCCAATAGAGGGGCTAGGTTCCACCAATGTTTGACCGTGCCACCTCCCTGTGAATACATGGCTTGATTAAACACTAGGTTGGGGATAAGAAAGGAGAGCATGATTTCAGCATGCTACACGTGTCTCCTATCGTGATGTGATAGGCCTGACAAGTAGCACGAGCGCTACAAACATCAGAGAGGACAAATGAGAGAGCTACCAGATAGTGGGTTTCGGCGAAATCCATTATCATAAACCAATGCCTCTGTCCTTAGGGCAGTGTCCTTATGAAACAGGGGCCAAAACGGGGGAGTGGAGGTCTGTAGACTAAAATCTCGTTCTGGATCCATACACTATGTTTCGGCTGTACCCTGTGCACACAATGAATCGCTCGCAAGCATAAAAAATTGTCTATGATTGTATGTTGAACCCTAAAGCTATAATGATTGGTGTCAAGCGTCTATTCAAGACATTACTACGGCTGCAGTACGGTAGGGAAAGGAATTTTCTGTGGAGCGGTGATTACCCCAGAGATTGAAAAGAACACCGCACGCGCTCTCACAACTTGTGAGTCACAGTTCCACGAGCATATTCTTGGCCCCATGCAGTGACAGAATGAACGGCGTACATACCGTACTCATGATGACTGCATACATGCTCATGATGACTGCATACATGCTCGTGATGGCTGGATGCATGCTCATGGTAACTGCATACATGCTCATGATGACTGCATGCATGTTCATGATGTCTGCATACATGCTCATCAGTGTGGGTAGGGTTGAGACCTAATTAGGAATGGCGCCAGGGAAGTTGTTATTGTGCAGGTCGCTACACGGCAGAGCACAGGATAGAGACAGTTTCTTTTCAGTCGGCTAAAAAGCACAGAGCTTGTAGTCGACTCTAAGGCAGAGCAGGGGAACAGAGGCAGTTGCATCAATCCATTTTAATCAATCTGACTTCTTTCAAGAGCTCGAGAAACATCCACATAGCCTTGGCGCGTAAGTAATATTGTTGAGGGCTGCAGCGTCACTTTATCAGACTCAAGGGGGCATTGCAACATCGTTATCTTGACAGGAGCGGAGCTTCACTGCCTTGCATGCAGCAAGGCGAGGAGGACATTCAGAGCATGGCATGGCAAAAGGAGAGCCGCATGGCTCTATGAGTGAACAAATAGCACGTGCAGATGCAACAGCAGGGTGGGCGAGGCAATGGGGTGGCTGACAGGATATCGAGGGTGGAGATGGTGCTGAGGGCAGACTGCTGTCCACAGTGAACCCGTTGACCAAAAGGCTCCTGCACATGGTTACAGGGAATGGAATGGACCACTGGCGATGCGGGTATGTGCCCCACTGAGTGCTACGGACAACGAGATACACATGCATGGGATAGCCTTGGTAAAAGCAGAACCCAATATTCTTGCATGGTGCAGTGCTGAGTGCTAACGCACAAGAATGCATGCATGCACACAACGCCCTGTACATAGTCCGCGCTGCACCACAGCAATCCCCCTCCCATTCGTCTTTCAATATCTATCTGTTAGAATGTTGCATATGCTAGTTAATACTACTGTAAATGATACACCCAATGTGGTGCACTTTGGCTCAACTAGCCCCAACCGATTTTGGTTGAGTGCTTCCCAACATTTTTGGACCGTATTTGATGGGGGGATCCCAAATAATAACTGGGCCATCCAATCAATTATTGCCACCCCCATCCCCCAATAATGTTGGGCAATCATTGCGTGGTCAACCTAATTGACCCACCAATGATGGTGTGGGCACTCATCCAATCTGCCCACCGTTTCCTTTCCTATGTTAACCTATCTCTCATTTGTCACAATCATAACTTGAGACTCTTTCACTCTGCACACGCAGTGGCCCCATGCCAGTACACCCGCAACCACTAACCCTCTACCCTCTTCGACCCAGTGACACCCCTCAGCAATTGAGCCTGCCCAGATCTCTCAGTGCAGTGGACATATTACAGTGTGGCGAGTTGGTTGAGGTGCGACAGATAAGGGACTCAGGCACGGATCAGCTCAGCCAGTTCTGCGCAGATCACTCACATCAGGTTGGTCAACAAGCTGATCAACTCAGCCGGTTCCTCCAGAGGACAGATGGCCAAGAAGGGATCCGAGAAAGGGAGAGAGCATGGGACTACCTGGCATGTGACGCAAACTCATGCAATGAAACAGGGACAGAGCCAAGGAGTTGTGGGATGGATTAGGTAGGAGGGTTAAGGGTGGTACTGACAGGTAGGTGACACTGAAGGAGGTTGCTCATGTCATTTGGAGATGTTCAGATGATTCACTCTCGGCTTGCTGCATGCGTGGCGCACACATGGAGAAACATGGGGATGGACGGGATACACGAAATGGGGTTGGATGGGGTTGGACGTATAAGGTTGGGGCAAGGAAAATGAACGATTAGGAGAGGGAGACGTGGAAGGACTACAGATGGGGCAATGTACTGAGGTGAGGAGAGGGATGCCTGGGACGTTGATGGTGCGTCCCATCTGCCGCACTGCATGCACGCAAACATGACAAGACAGCATTCCACGTTGCTTTTTCATCCGGCCTCGTCACAATCTTCCCTCTTATTTGTTCAGCACTCTCACTCTCAGTAGCGCCGCCCACCCGAACGCACCTCTGGGGCATAGCCAGTACCTGCACACGTTGCTGGCACGCCCCTGGCAAGCGGGCCGCGAGAGTACTCAGAAGGCACCCACATGCGCTGGGGCAGCACTCACATGCGCTGGAGCCATCACAAAAATGTGTGTGTCTAGAAAACATTCGACCGTTTGGTTTGTTACCAAGGGTTTAAAAAACGTTTGACAATCTTTCAGAAATCATCTACATATCATTCGGATATCATTTTGTACTACCCAAATGTTTTGTTGATGTTTTAGTAATGGATTACCAATGTTTTGATGGTTGATGTGTCAAATGTTGTTTGTTGAGACAATACATAAGGCTTCATGAATAGGAGTATCACAATTATACGATGTTATAGTCTAGAAAAACAGTCGCAATTTTGAAGGCATTACCAGATGAACCTATTGAGGAGCTTCACATCAGGGTCTTTGCAGCATGGGACGACATGCACGATGCTAAGAATGCAATCTGCATCTACAACTGCATAGTTGTAAGTGCCCTTCGTGGGCAGCAGTCGCTTGCAGCCTGTGTAGCGGCAGACGCGCCGATCCTCCGTGTAGTACTCTATGTAGGCGGCCTTTTTTGCCACGCCATCTTTCACGTAATGGAACAGCATCAAGCAACGGCCGTACCAGTTGGCCCCTTTGCCAGATGGGTTTATGGCCACATCTGAAAAGTGCCTCTCAGCAGGGCTTGCTTTGACAAACTGCCCCTTCTCGGTCCACTCCATTCTGTCGTGCGGTGGGATTGCCATGGCTGTGTGCACCTGCGAGTAAACAAACATGGAACGCAACAAAACAATGGAAGGGTCGTGTTAGATTTCTCAAGGATGAGTTGCTAAGTGGTGCGTTGATACAACGGGTTTCCATGGCTGGGTTTTACCATTACAACTGGTCTAAGACTGCTTGCGTTTAACAGGATGGTAGTGGCAGGTCTGCATTGCAGGGGGCAATCTTATGATTCTCACACTGAGCACTTGTTCGCGGATTCCCTCCATGGTCAGCCGCTTCTTCAGGGCGCCCATCGCTTCATCTCCGTGAAGGAGGACGTAGCTCCTGAATACATCATCGAGGATGTTCCCCACGGTCATCTTCTTGTGTGTCTTTGTCATCACCCGGCGCCCAAGCGTGCAAGCCTGGGTAGGAAGGTGATGGATGCATGGTTTACATGGCGGCATAACAAGGCAGCAATTGAAGTGCAATGGGGACAACAGGAGGAGGGAGCAGTGATTAGGGACGAGTGGGTGGGAATAGGGGGCAGTACGAGAGGTCAGAGGGGGCAGCAACAGTAGGCATGTGAATAGGGGGACAAGTGCCAAGCGGGGGGGGGGGCTCAACGAATTACAAAGATGGGCTGGATGGTTTAGCCAGTGGTGGAGCAAGGGTGGGAAGTTCGAGTGGGCGAGGGGTATAGCAGGAGGGTTTAGGTTCATGGGTGGACAAGCGGGGGATCTTTTGAGAGCAGAACGGGATGTCAAGGGGGGCAGCACGAGGACACTTGGTGGGTGGACAAGTGGGGGAGCATGTGGGGGCAGAATGGGATGTCAAGAGGGGCAGCAAGAAGATGGTTGGTCGGTGGACAAGTGGGGAAGCATGTAGGCGACAGAACGGGAAGCAAAGAGGGGCAGCAGGAGGAAGGTCGGTGGGTGGACAAGTGGGGAAGCATGTGGGGGCAGAACGGGATGTCAAGAGGGGCAGCAAGACGAAGGTTGGTGGGTGGACTAATGGGGAAGCATCTGGGGGCATTTAAGAGATGACAAGAGGGGGCAACGGGTTAAACATCCATGTGAGGCCCCGTGGGGGAGCATGGGAGTGCAGAACGGGATGTCATAAGTTTATGGTAGTCGGGTAAGGGCCAGCGGGGCTCAAGAGGATAGGCAAGGTTTAGCTTTAAAACAGGAGGTCATGGAGGGTAGTCGGCGGTTGGAGCAAGGGGGGACAAGTGGTGGATTGAAACGGCTTTGGGTTGTATTCAGTCTCACCTCCTTCATGGCTGTCTCGTAGGTTTTGTCCCCGCCGGCAGCCCGAGACAGCTGTCGAACAACAGCTTGCTCGACATGCTTCTTCACAATCCTATCTTCCACACCCTTCCAGTTGGTGCCCCGAGATGGGCGCTTTACTGTTGTCTTGTGGGATTGCTCGTACCGGTTCGACGAGTACTCCTGTGGCAATCCGCGTGCGCGGATCGTCGGTGGCAGGTGCGATACAAGATGTACCTTCACAATAAACCACTTCGACTTCTGGTTGTCGAACGCTA